CAGCCAGTGGGAAAGGGAGATGCAGAGATGTCCCAGAGAGATAAAAGGCTCAAAGATGGCAAATGTCCAAAGAAAGAGAGGTAGTGAAGGCATTCAGAAAGGGTGATGAGGGACTCTTCCTCAGTCAAGTGGAAAATGCCTGGGCTGGGAGACCTGGGTTCCCTCCTAGAGCCGCCGCCCACTGCCTGAGTCTTCAGGCAAGGGCCCTCTCCTTGCTGGAGAAAACTCTGCGAACTGCGAAAACTCTGCAAAATTGTGTGTGAAAGGAAGAGCTAAAGAGCAAGAATGTGTCCCCTTGCACCGATTCTGGGGCCACCAAGCACTCTTCTGACCCTGATTAGCTGTTCTCACATAGACTCTGCTGCCAGAAAATTTGCTGACCAGCTGAGACACACATCTGACCCACTTGGCAATCGTGTTTCTCACCGTAAATTAATCCATTGGCCTTGGAGTTTATGCACTCATCTGATCAGCGCGTGGGGCCACCTGACCTGCACATGTGAAGACAAAGACCCCAGACGTGATCAAATCGGGGGTGACCCTGCTGAGGGACCCTGCCAGAAAGTGATCACTGGCCTCGCTAGTGGATGACTATTCCTCACGGCCGCAACTGCCGAAACAGTCTCGGGCCAAAAATAGAAGAGGAAAAACCAAGCAGCTCCTCAGAAATAAGGGAAGGCTCAGAAGAACTAAAACATAGTGGGAGCAAGAAGAGAGAGGCAGAGAGAGGAGGGAGGCCAGCCATCTGATGGGACAGCTCAGGACCCCTGGGGCAGAGCAGTCCGGCCCCCGGGAAAACCCCGCCTGACCTTCACACTGCTTTCCAAACTGCTTTCCTTCCCATTACACTGCCTTGGAGACCAGCTACATCTTGGTCTGTATGTGCTTAAAAGGAAAACAGATTATAAATGGAGCGGAGTGGAAGAGGAAGAAGTAGGGAGGAGGAGGAGAGGGAGGAGGAGGAGGAGGAAGAGGAGGGAGAGGGAGAGCTGAACAGATTTCTCGTCCAGTGTTCTTAACCCACATATTAGGTAAAGACAGCCCAAAGTCAAAACCTGATTCTGGTGACAGCACAGTTTGTTGTGTTTGATATTTATGTTATCAGATATTTCATAGATTCCAGTTACTGAGCATCTGTCATCAGCAAACATGAGTTAATAAAGCCATGACAGATCTATAATTATTAAGAAATAATGAAATTTTGAACCACTGGTAAAATGAAGGTTACAACATGCTGGGTATTATTTAAAAGCACCCCTTTATGTTACATGTATGTAGCTCTTAAATTATAAAATCCCCACAGGAGAGGCAGAAATGCAGCAAGCGCATTACAGAAGGTCTTCTCACCACATCCTTGACCTTGCCTCTGCCTCTTCCTCTTCATCCATTTGGATATTTTCGCTTTGTGTGAAGTATAGGGTGAAGCCCTGGGAGCACAAAGAGGCCTTGATCATTCATACCTCTGAGGAGAGTACCACACAGTTGGAGAGACAAGATATTTACACAGACGTATCACCTGTTTGACTCTCAGTGTCCATCCAGAAATATATTAAGTCCTAACTATTTTAATGGTGAGAAACCATTCCCCACATAAAGCTGCCCTCTTCACAGTGCAACACTGTTTAACAGATGGCATAGAAATTGCCTGTAGCAACCCTGAAAACAAGATAAGCAGGCACAGTTGTGTTTTTCTGTGACTCAGTTGGCACCAGAGGTGAGAGGTGTACAGTAGGATCTTCATCCATGGAAGTAGGTGGGGACAGTGAAGCAAGAAGTAGGCTTGGCAAGTGGGTTCTTTAAGGCCTGGCACACTGAGACTGTCTTTACCTGTGGTTGCGATATTAAAGCCAGAGGGCAAATGTCATGGTCAAGGGAGGGGAAAGGTCAAGCCCAAGGTACATGTTCAAAGCCAGTTGTCAAAGCTGGGGCCACCGAAGGAAGTGTCTGGGCTGAGGTGTGTGCTCAGAGTCAGAGGAGTGGGACAGATGAATGTAACTGCTGTCCATCCTAGGACAATTCAGCAGGACAAGAGGTAAATGATGGTGAGGATTTTAGGGGAGTAAAGGAGGATCGAGGGGATGTTCATTCTCCTAGTGAGGCTTTTCTTTATTCCCAGTGCATATACATATGGAGAATAAGCATATGTATAAAGGTGAGTCAGGCCCATCTATGAGAAGCCGGTAGAGAAAGAAGTGAACCCCCGTCTGAGACTGAGACATACTCTCAGTTTTGCATTCAAGATTGCAGTTGGGTCCAGGTCACTGCGGTGCCTCCGAAGGTGATAAAACGTCTGATAATTAGTGTCCTTACTTTCCCACAAACATCAGAAAGAATGAGATCATTTCCGCAGATCCGACCAGGCATACTTCCAAGATTCCAAGCTACCCGGCAGGTTTGCCATAAGAACAGGGCACTTTCACTTTCTCTCAGGCCAGGAAATGTGTAAAATGATCCAGCCATTCATAGGCCATTGTAGAAACTCACTGGCTAATCTCATGGGCTGATCTAACCCTGTCCGTAGGGTCACCGCAAAGGCACCTGTGATGTTCAAAGCTCTTACATAATAAACATTCTCGTGAAAGAAGAGGAAGGGCATGTTAGAGTGTAGTGAGTTGCCCCGAACTGGTGGTATTCCAGTGGAGGCTGGATGCTCAAGTCAGAGGTACTGTAGAGGACATTTCCTGTCCTGCATCAGAAGGTTCCCTCCAGCTCTGAGATTCTCTGATCTCACGAAAATTTCATGATTCCCTATCCTTCCGCCATAAAGGCTCAAACCTATGATATCCATAGGTTATCATAGATGTGGCCAAGAATGTTGACCACTGGACTTGAGTCTATGGGGGACAAGGGGACCATGCTTCCTAGAGGAAAAACCACTGGGAAAGAGCTATCTTCAATCATTGATCTGGTGTAAAAAGGTTGATGACTCCATTTTGCTTTGAAAGGAAAAGTTTTTAGTCAGATATATGCAATTTTCCTTATAGCTCAAAAACAAATTATGCAATATTCAGCAAAATCTGAGAACCCAGCATTGACATTTTTAGCCTGCTTTGTCAAGATTCTCTTAGTGTTTGACAAATTTTAACTCAAATTCACAAACTCCACGAGATAAGAAGGAACTCACAGTGTGTATCAGTCTTGAAAGGGGTATGTCACTGTTAATTTTTTTTTTTCTTCAGCAGCTATTTCTTATTGGATTGGGATTAGTGCCTACTTTAGAAAGAAAACATCAATGACTCACTAACTCCTGAGTTGATTTTCTAGGAAAGGGGCTGGTTTTACTTTGATCTAATAACATGCTTTGCACAGTATCACCTGAATTGAGATTGAAGTCTGTGGTTATGAAGCAAAGCCAAACTCCTAGCCCACAGTGGGTTCAAACCCATAATCCAGGTCCCATCAATATTATGCTGTGATCAGTTTGTGCACCTAAAGAAGCCAGAGGCAGGGGAATGATGTTATAAGACTAGCCTGTAAACTCTCTGACAGCAGGAATCATGTCTGTCCTTTGCACTGCTATATTCTAGAATCCAGTACAGTGCCCAGGACATAGTAGGTATTAAATACATAGTTATTGAATGAATTAATTTTTCCCCAAAGTATCAAGAGCCTATATATCTTCCATTTCTCCTTCCCCTTTTCCTTCCCCTGAATCCCATTTTCCAAAGGTATCTACTCTTCAGCATTTCATGTGTTGAACGATTATTTTAGAAAGAAAAGGATTTTCACATGATTGGGAGGAAAAAGTGTCAAAATGGGAAAACTTGGGGCGCCTGGGTGGCTCAGTTGGTTAAGCGACTGCCTTCGGCTCAGGTCATGATCCTGAAGTCCCGGGATTGAGTCCCGCATCGGGCTCCCTGCTCAGCAGGGAGTCTGCTTCTCCCTCTCCCACTCCCCACTCTTGTGCTCTTTCTCTCTCTCACTCTCTCTCTCAAATAAATAAATAAAATCTTAAAAAAACAAAAACAATAAAAAAAAATGGGAAAACTTACTCAAGTCTTGAAACCAAGGACAAAATTCCCTCAAAAGTTGATATTAACTAATAATAAAGATAGAGTTTGGAAAAAGACCAATCAAGATCACCATACCTTCTCTGACTCAACTTCTATGAGGGCGGTTCACCTGGACGGGCGTTGGGCTTTGTCGTTGTCAGGCGCCCCTCTCCTTGCAAGCACTAACCAAGATGTGCTTTCCTCTATCGTGGGAGCGGTGTTCCTGGTCCTCCTGTGATCGCAAAGTGATGCCCAACCCATTTGTAAATGGAGCTTGGAGTGGCTGGTGCAGAAAATGAGACTGTGTGGAGCTGCAGGAGAGACAATCTGTGGCCCCTTGAGTCCCCCCCTCCACCTCCCTCACAGCCATGGGGTCTTCTGCGGCCCCTCCCCCCGCTCCCCCCCCTCCACGCCAACTCCAGCCCCTCCCACAATGGACCCTTAGCCGATCGTTTCTGGTTCTGAAAGCCAGTAAGTGAGGAAAACTCCACAAGCCCTCCTCCCCTTCTCTGTCAACTTTTAGGGACTTGTCCCTGTGATCAGCAGGAAGCCCAGCCCTACTTACCTTACTGACACTTCTCACTTCACAGCTCCGGGTAGGATGATAAATGAAAACAGAGGAACGGCAGTTCTCAAAGTGTGATGTGAATGCCCCAGGGGCCTCAAGACCCTTTCAGGGAGTCCGTGAGGTCTAAGTCATGATTTCCCTGTTTCTTTTAATCTCCATCTCTCACATGTGCCCAGTGGAGTTTTCTGGAGGCTACATGACACATGATGACATCATCTCTCTGACGGTCAATAGATATGAGCTTGTGTTTTCTTGTACTTAAACATCTTTTTAATGTTTAATTTATAATACAGTAAATAGCAATAGATATATCCCACAGAAACAAAAGCTCTTTGGTGTCCTCAATAATTAAGAATAAAGGAGCTCTAAGGCCAAAGAGCAAGAGAACCACTGATTTAAAAAAGCACACAGTGTTTTCTGCTCTGCCCTTTCCCTCCCTCTCACTCCCCAGACAGCCACAACCCGTCCTTATCCTGGGGGACTTGAAGAACCACGCAGAGGCCACAGTCTGCTTGGGTAGTAGTAGAGGTCGCCGCTCTGAGGTTCCAGCTCAACTGATACCCATGTCCGATAGGTTCCATGACGAATGTGGAGTTGAGTCATGTTCTGTCCTCTAAGTGGGGGAAAAGCCACATAGTTTTGAGTGTTTGGAAAGTGTGTCGGGATCATTTACTGTTAAACTTTGAAATACTCTTATGAGTCACAGAAAAGGAAAACTGAGTTACAACATGTGTGACTGTGATGAGTAATTCAGCAAAAGCCTGGAGATTAGAACTCAGGCTTCCTTACTCTCAATTCCGTGCTAGTGCAGAGAGAGATCACAGCCAACATGGCTCTGCTTTGGCTCTAAGCTGCCTGGTGTCCTGGGGCTGGCACTTTCATGATTGCTATGGTCTGAATGTTTGTGTCCCCTCCAGGTTCACGTGTTGAAACCCTAACGGCAAGGGTGATGGTATTAGTAGGTGGGGACTTTGGGAGGTGCTTAAGTCATGCCAGTGGAGGGACGCCTGGGTGGTTCAGTCGTTAAGCGTCTGCCTTCGGCTCAGGTCATGATCCCAGGGTCCTGGAATCGAGCCCTGTGTCGGGCTCTCTGCTCAGTGGGAAGCCTGCTTCTCCCTCTCCCTCTGCCTGCCGCTCTGCCTACTTGTGCTCTCTCTCTCTGTATCAAATAAATAAAAATAAAATCTTAAAAAAAAAAGTCATGCCAGTGGAACCCTCATGAATGGGCTTAGGGCCTTACAGAAGAGGCTCTGAGAGATCCCTGGTCCAGTTCTATCATGTGAGGATGCCATCAGAAGCCCACAGTCTGCAACTGAGAACAGGGCCCCCATCCGACCACACTGACACCCTCATCTCAGACTTGCAGTCTCCAGATCTGTGAGAAATACATTTCTATTGTTGATAAGTTTCCCCAGCCTATGGTGTTTTGTTGTACAGCCAAATGGACTAAAACAGTGACTGTCATCAGAAACAAACATATGTAATCAATAGATCATGTTGCGGTTATGCCCTCGAAGGAATTCCAGAAATTCATATCACAAAGGGGCTCCAGTAGTGACAACAAAAAACTGTCTATTTGGGGGCCTTGCTTCCTCTTGACTCTTCTGCTAATTTTCCAAATGGTGCTGTCCTTAATATTCCCTCTGAATTGGGTCCCATCCAGATGTGAGCCGTACAGAGCCTGACGGCATCTTGGAAGGGCTGCCTCCTGCTCGTCTGGAGGCCTCGCCTTTTCATACACACACCCCCCCCAACACACACACCTTGCTATCTGGCCCTCGGATACAGGGAAGAGCTTTACCTCAACAACACCTTCTTTCTATTTTTCCTGAGGCATGAAATTTCGTAGGAGAAAAAGGCTTCCCAACATGAAAAATCAAATATGAATGCCACAAGGAGAGATACTGCTTTTTGACAGTGCCCGGAAGAAATCGTTCCCAGATATTTTTCTAGGAATGGATTTTGACCAAAGGGTTGAGAGCCTATTACGACACTCATGGTCCTAATGGGAGGGGGAGCAGATACACTGAAGCCATTCTTCCCATACTCTTCCCACACAACCTGGGAGTCCAGGTTCTCCCCTTTCTTTCCAAAGAGCTCCTCGCCCCAGAGAGAACCAACAGGATTAGTGTTAAGCTTAAAATCCCAACTGATAGCAACTCTGTTCCAGTTTTCCTACCGTCTCCCCAGTTTCCCTCCCTTCCCTGAGAGCAGGAGGCCAGGCAACTAAGGGTTCTCTTTGTTTGCAGTCCAAGGCTATTCCACTCATCAGGATCTGGGAGTGGAGACTCCTAGGGCCCCTCTTTGTACCTAGCCTTGGCCTATAATGTCTCAGTGACTGAGGGCCCAGTACAACCCCAAACTGGCCACAGATTTCAGCCAGATCCCAAGCTGTCAGAACTTCTTCAGCCCGGCAACAATAATGAGATGTAATGTGTAAGCAGAGAACTATCTGTACAAAGTGCCTTCATGCACACTTTTCACACCAATGTCTGGGATGTAGGCATTATCACAACTGTTTCTTTTACTCAAGATTACTGCTTTGCCGCCTTAGCATCTACGAGCTCCACTTTTTTCTGATAAGAGGAACCCCTGCTCCTGACAAACACATAACATACATTGGAAAATCAGTTCTCCTGACTCCAATGTGTGCTTCTGGTTGAGAAGCACCCATCTTAAACCTGGAACCCAACCACAGCCCATCGTGCACTGGTTACTCTCTCATTGCTAGCCCCCAGACCCAGCTTCTGCTCTGTATTGTGCCCTGGAAGGTTGTGGCCCTCAGACTGCCCCTCCAGGGCTCCCTGGCCTGGCCGGGTCTGGCCGCTTGCTAGGAGGAGCATCCTCAGCAAACGTCAGAAAGCCAGAGGAGAGAAGGGTTGGGCTTCTCAGGGACCCGTTCTCCAAGCACCTCACTGCCAATGGCTGTGTTTCTCCAAAGGCACAGGACTTGCTAGAAGGTGCTTCTTCAAGGGCCCCTGCCTTCGCCTGCCCCTTCACATTTGGGGATGTAACGGCTTCCTTCTGCTGCACGCCTCTGGGTACCTGACTTTGGATTTCCTCAATCCTGATGGTCTCTCTGTGAATAATCCTGTGATTGAATTCTCCTTGGCTAAATCACGTTGAGTGCGTCACCTATTTCTTACCAGGACTCTGTTACCCACAGCCGATCTTAGACACTCTTCCGGATGGTCACAGCAATGAGTCCGAGGGGTGGCCTGTGATGCAGTTCAGACCAACCACACTTCTCCTATGTAAAAAAAAAAAGTTTTATAACCAGAGCGGGGAGAGGGAAGCTCATTCTTCTGGAATGGCGAAGGGCTGAAGGTATCTCTGAGCTTTATGCTGGCGTCAATATCCCCTCCTCATTTGAATCTTGGTTTAAATTCCTTGGGTCCTCACACTGCCCTGATTCCTGCCTTCCAAATAGCTTCCTTCTTTGTGTCTAAGCCAGTCTGAGTAGGTTTCTATTACCTGCAACCATTGCAATTCAGATGGCTAAGTCAGCCAATGAGTGGAAGGATTGAAGTTCCAGCTCTAGTCATCTGCCTCCAAAGCCAATACCCTTAGACAGAGAGTCTACATTCGTAACTGTGACCCAGATGTCTTCCCAAGGCCCACCGCAGCTCTGTAAAGTCCCACCATTAGAGATAACTCCAGTGGGAAGAGGTGCATTGTGTCCAGGAGTTACCCAGAGCATGCTACAGACATAAATGCATTTTAAATAATAAGAATTTTTTTAAATAATAAGATTATAAGTGAAAAGTCTGCATTAACTAAAAGTGGACTGATTGAGTCTCATCTTTGATGAGCTTTTTCCTGAAAGAAATCTTAACATAAATCCTTTAGTAAAGCACAGACTCTCCATTTGTCTTCTTTGTAAGACCAGATTTTCACTCATACTGGTACTGTGTGAGCCCTTGGTAAATGAGGATTGCTCCACCTCCCAAAGTATTTCCCAGCTTATCATTGACAGGAGATGGAAGGACTGGTCTCAATGGATACCCCAAAAAAGAGGTGTCCCTGAAGGTACCCCACCATCAAGACAGGAGGAATTGCTGAATCTTGTCCACATGCTGATAAAAAATAACTAAGGGAAGTTTTCACGGGGAGTTTCAGATCACCATAGTGTAACTCACAAGATGGATTTCAGAATAGGGTGACTATAACCTAGATTAGAGGAAGTTCTATATACACCAAGGGCTCTGGGGACCTGATGTTCTCCCTTTTCTTTACCTGTCCTTGTAAGTAGCTTCCCCATACTCCAGGAACCTCTTTAATGAGGTAATACGTTCTCCTTCCAGCTAGTTCTTTTGATATTGTAACTCATGCCAATTGGCCTCCCATGCCCACTTGGTGATGTGAGCCATATTATCTGTAGCCATCCAGAAAACGGTATCTTTATTTAAGATAACGAAATCTTGTCCATCATAGGCATGCTGGACAAATGTGGTGCTTCTATCCTCTAGCAACTCCTAGCCCGTCATCCTCTGGTAAGTGTGAAACCCTGGTGTGAAACCTAGGTGGGTCAGGAAGGGGGTTAGATAGAGACATAAAGGTGGGCATCCAGTGGATGACTGGGGGTATGCATCCTCTGCCCCCGAATACATCATCCCACAGGCATGCCTCCGGGAGGTTCCTATGACATAACCCACCTAGCAACAGACATTTGCACGCCGTAGGAACATGATAATTTTTGCCTTGGGGAATTATTCGATAATAGGAAAGATCAATTATAAATTTCATAATGCAATAAAGGAGAGGAAGATATGCAAGAGCCAGAAATATCCTGGGAAAGTTAATGTAGTAAGCCATTGTGCATAAGCAAGTGGCTCACTAAGCCTGGTCACCAGGAAATGAGACACAGAATGGCCAAATTTAGAATGAGAAAGGAGAAGATACAGGTTAGAAGCCTGAATGGGGGTGGCATCAGGATATGGGGGGCAAAGGACAAAGGGCTCCCGAGGAAGAGAGGATTTGGAAGACGCTTCGGGCAGATGGCAGACACTGAACACGATCGACCAGATTGTCCCAGCTTTGCCAAAAGAGTGTAACTCAGCAACTGCTCATGTTCACTGTCAGCCCAAGAACCTCTCTGCAGGAATGGGGGCTGGTGAGGGCAAGCATTCATCTCTGCTGCCTTCCCCACCTGAGTGATCGCGGTGACTACAGATGCGCCAGCCCCAGCCCCTCGGCAGCTGAGTGTACCTCTCCCAGGGACCAGGCAAGGGGTTCTCCACCGTCCATGGAGCCCACGGCTCCTCCTGCCAAGAGACACTCATATGCAATGATGGGATGAGAAAGAGATTCAGTGATCCCATGGCTGGGATCTGAAATGCCCAGGCGAAAATACATCAGCGAGTGAGTCCCTGGAAGGGAGGCAGAGAGGGAAGATATTTAGAGTCACGGACAATGGCAACCCACATCAGTGGTCCGTGTTCCGCTGCATTCCTCCGGGGACCTAGCTGCTGCTTCATCTTACGTAATCACAGAACCCCAGGAACTGGAGCCTGGAAAGGACCTAAGAGCTCCAGCCCAAGACCTGGAGCCTTTTTTGTCTTGGTTTGGAAACCTCAGGATACAATTTTACAGGTAATCTCAAGTTGTAAGTGAAGTAGAGAGCCCTGCTCTGGACTTGGGGTGGGGAAGTGCCCGGGACCACTCATTGGTCCCCCAGGGTGCTGTCAGAGGGCTTGATAACCCCGATAACCCACGCCCTTGTTTTGTGAATGCAGCCTCTACATGGGTAAAATGAGGGCTCCTACCCAACCCTGTGCAGGTGCGCGCACACACACACACACACCACACACACACACACCACACACACACACACACACACACCAGATCCGTCAGAGAACCCACTTAAGGACACAGCCTCCTAAAAAAAAGTGTTTTAGGGCGCCTGGGTGGCTCAGTTGGTTGAGCGCTGCCTTCGGCTCAGGTCATGATCCTGGAGTCCCGGGATCGAGTCCCGCATCGGGCTCCCTGCTCGGCAGGGAGTCTGCTTCTCCCTCTGACCCTCCTCCCTCTCATGCTCTCTGTCTCTCATTCTCTCTGTCTCAAATAAATAAATAAAATCTTTAAAAAAAAAAAGTGTTTTAAAAGCACGGTGCTTTTCTTTGCTCCATAGGGAAGGCTGTGGGTGAGTGGGGCCATCTACCATGTGGGGTCACATCCATGTCCAGGGACTTCTCTGGCCTAAGGACTGTACTAGATGCCACCTCTCCACAGTGTTTCCAGATCGCCCAGCCAAATGCTCTTGTCCCTTTGGGAACTCCCCTAGCACTCAGATCTTTTTTTCCCATGTGGCCCTTGCCGCAGCAGGGAACCTTGGACTGCGTCAGGCTCCCATTCCCCAGGCTGAATACTACTTAATGATGTTGACTCCTTCCCCTTTATTTATAAATATATATTTAAGAAAAAAATATCAAATTAAAAAAAATCATTCACAAAACAAGTGGGTCGGCTTTGGTGCATGCAAGTCTGTCTATACTTCCCTTTTCTCTAAAACTGTTTCTGAAAGCATTCATTACATGGAGACTGTCTTTGAGAACGGGCCACCGCAAGGCCAGGCTACCATTACCTTAACCTCGAAGGACGACAGGAGGCCCTGAGACTGAACCAGGTCCAGCCAGGGCCCCTTCCGCCTGATTGCGCCAGGTTCTATAAAAGCAGAACTGTCCTCTCCGTTCTCCCTGCTCCTCTAGCTGGGGTGGGAGCAGCTTGGCCGGGTTCAGAGTAGGCACCCAGCCCTGTGGGCCCCTCCACATGGAATGGGTTCTGCATATCAGCTGCAGCACTGAGCAAGATGGAGGAGTCTGGTCTTCCCCAGGCCTGGGCAGAACGTGAGGCTTCAAGGCCCCTTTTCATTGCTTTCAGCTTTTTCTTCCCCTTTTTCCTTCCTGGGGCTGGGGGGTTGGGAGGATAAGCGTTGGGATGAGGAAGCAACCCAGTGGAAGGCTCTCCAGTTGAGCATAAGAGTCTCTCATCATGGAAGTGTTGGTTCTTCTATAACTAAGAGCCAGAGATTGAAGCAGCAGTACAAATACTACCCCCAAATCAGTAGTTATCATATTCTGCCTTCTATTCTCTTTATCTTTGTTTACCTTCTACTCCATTCTCAATCCTAAGGCACTTGAGGACTGGGACTTTGCTTCTTTCCTTTGTGCTTCCTGCCAAGGCCTGCCGCAGGGAGCTTGGCACATGGTAGGAGCTTCGTAAATATTTGTGAATTAAGTTGTTGGCGAAGCTTTTGATTTCTCTGTTTTGAAAGATGCTGAAATGAATATGAATCTATTTAACCTGGAATGTATACTTTTCAAAATACTTTTCAGAAAGTGCAGGCTGGCGAATGGGGAGCAGAGCTGAAATCTCATTTACACCTAGTCTGGAATCTGCAAAAGGTGTATATGCTTGAATCTGCAACCAATTTTGAAACTCTTCCATTGCTCCACATCTGGAAAGGTTTTGTGGCGACTCTGCAGATACCCAACTGTTCGGAGAGGGAGGCAGAAGGAAGAACAAGTCATGAACATTAGTTCTCACACCTTCTTAGTATCCATCTGGGTATTCAACAAACATACGAGTGCTTCCTCTGTGCCAGGCACTGTTCTAGGCCCTGAGCACACAGCAGACCAAACAGATACAAATGTCTGCCCTTGTGGAGCCTACACCCTAGTAGATGGAGGGGAGCAAGACAGACAACACAAAATACAGGAAATATACATCATGTCTTTTGGAAAGTGCAATGGAGAAAAATAAAGCTGCAAAAAGGATGAAGCAATGCAGTTTAAAACAGCAATGCTTAAGAAAGGCCTCCCCAAGAAGGAGACTTCAGGGCAAGTGCCTGCTGGGAATGAGGGAGCCAGCCAGATATCTGGGGACACCAGTCCAGGCAGGGGGACTGTACAAAGACCTGGAGGAAAGGACGAACCTGGCATGGTCCAGGAGCAGCAAGAAGACCCGTGACTGGAGCTGAGGGAATGAGGGGGAAAGAAATAGGTAGGAATTGCTTCCACACTTATTCATAGGAAAAAAACCTCACAGAAATAAAATTCCAGGCAAAGAATGGGAGAGGAGAAGGAAGAAGGGATTTAAAAAGAGACTGTGTTTCTCGGCGATGCTGGATTGGTATAGAATTTCCCTTGGAATCTGGGTGGGGTTCTTCTTATGACATCTGGGGTCTACATGCCTAGGACATGCCAACAAGCAAAAAAAAAAAAAATCAAACCCCCAAAGTATTAACAAGTTGGGGCATTACTGCTCAATGGGAGGATTTTGTCTATGTCCCACATCATCTCCACACATATTATTTACAATTCCTATAATTTCACTTTCTTTTTTTTATTTTTCTAAAAAGATTTTATTAATTTATTTGTCAGAGAGAGAGAGAGAGTGAGCACCAGCGAGCACAAGCAAGGAGAGTGGCAGGCAGAGGGAGAAGCAGACTCCCCACGGAGCAGGGAGCCCAATGCGGGACTCGATCCCAGGACCCTGGGATCGTGACCTGAGCCAAAGGCAGGCGCTTAATGGACTGAGCCACCCAGGCGTCCCTAATGTCACTTTCTTACCAAAATATAACCTCATAAAAATCTGCATTGTCTGGAGTTTATAAGAGGGAAATAGAAACATGGTCTGTTGACAATACTGTCCAAGTACAGTGTAATGTCCTTTTTGCCAACCTCGATCTCAATCCAGTTCCTGATTTCAGAGCAGTTTGTCTGCACCAGCCAGCCCTGACTTCAAAGGCTGCTCTGCCCCTGAAGGCTGGCCTCCATCTGCCGGTCGTCTGCTCGTCTCCCCTCGCGCAGCTGCAGCGTGGCTCTGCTCCAGGGGCATCACGGTCCCATCCCCTCGGTTCGCCATGGGCCCACTTACCCATCTGCTGTGTCCACAAGTACAAGTCACGCTCGCTCCTGAGTTGGGCTTCCAAAATGCTACCTCAGCCGTGATGGGAAGTTGGTTGACAGATGTGAAGTCAGTAACTTAGAACAGAGAAGAGAGGGGAAGTCCACGGTACCCTTTCTCTCCTGGTACATTAGTCCTTAGGATGCTTTCTCTCCTATCAATATGTAGCCCAGATGATCAGATTTCTAGTATAATTATGCAGGTTGAATCATTTGAAGAAACCTATCTCTGACCATTTTTTATTTCATAAATTCAGTTTAAACTTTTGATTCTCTCTTCTTGCTCCAGTAATTATGAAATTAGATTTTTCTCTCCCTTTTCATGAACAGATTATCAGCATCAACTCACTTATTGAACAGTAATCTGCAATTTAGAATATAGTCTTCTGTCCAGGCCAGTCCAACTGCCTCTTAAAGGACATTTGCTGCCCTTTCCCAGCAGCCTCTGATAGACATTGCTGGAAAGCCTGAACAACATAACCAAATAGCCCCAGACCAGAGGCAGTGGTTACTGCACATTTTAAATTATGTCCCCATTAACCTGTAGATGACCTGGTTAGGCCATTTTTACAAAAGACTGAAAAATCACTGGATCATAGGGCACCTGGATGGCTCAGTCGTTAAGCGTCTGCCTTCGGCTCAGGTCATGATCCCAGAGTCCTGGGATCGAGTCCCGCATCAGAGTCCCGGCTCCGTGGGGAGCCTGCTTCTCCCTCTCCCACTCCCCCTGCTTGTGTTCCCTCTCTCACTGTCTCTCTCTCTGTCAAATAAATAAATAAAATCTTTAAAAAAAAAGAAAAAAATCACTGGATCATAAAATAATTGACAAAGTGTTTACAGATATTCATCCATGAGGCAATTTATATTTATTGGGTATCTGTGATGTACAAGGAGTTGTGAGGCAATGTCAGGAACAGTAAAATAAATCAGATACTAGTTCTGTCGTCCAGGAAGTGATAGTATTATTGGAGAACTAAAGCATGTAACATAAATAAATACAATGCATAAGTAAATCCATGGCAGCAGGCAGTAAGTGCTATGAAGGAAGGACCGACGGAGTGCTCCCCCAGCTCAGCAGAGAGAGACCCTGTTCTCATATGAAGGAATCCAGAAACGCTCCAAGGAGGTGGCAAACGTTCCATGAAGTTGGGCCTCCAATGAGCAATGAAAGGCAGCAGGATCTGAAACATAACCATCAGAACGGCAATTTATTTATTGAGTATGTGCCCTGTGTTGGGTACCATGCTAAGTCCTCGATAAATAGGAGTCTCGTTTATTCCTCACAGCACCCCTTTGAGGTAGGTCTTATAATTCCCATCTTGCAGACAAAAATAGGTGCAGAGAGGTGAAGAAAATTGCCTAAGATCATCCCTAGAATCCGTAAGTGGAGGAGCCAGGAATCACACTCTTGATCTCTCGTACGTGAAGTCTCTCCACCTTACGTGACCC